TCTTTGTCCTTTTCTTTCTTTCTTTTTTTTTTTGTAGAGACAGAGTCTCACTTTATTGTCCTTGGTAGAGTGCCGCGGCATCACACCACTCACAGCAACTTCCAACTCCTGGGCTTAGGCAATTCTCTTGCCTTGGCCTCCCAAGTAGCTGGGATTACAGGTACCACAATGCCCGGCTATTTTTTTGTTGCAGTTTGGCCAGGGCCAGGTTTGAACCCACCACCGTTGGTATATGGGGCCAGCGCCCTAGGCACTGAGCATAGGTGCCACCCTTCTTTGTCCTTTTCTAACATCATCTTTTTCTTAAGTTTTTTTTTCAGTATCCCCCCCTCTTTTTTTTTTTTTTTTCTTAGAGACAGAATTTCACTTTATTGCCCTCAGTAGAGTGCCATGGATCACAGCTCACAGCAACCTCCAACTCCTGGGCTTAGGCGATTCTCTTGCCTTAGCCTCCCTAGTGGCTGGGACTACAGGCACCCGCCACAACAGAGGCAATACCTCGCTCAACATCATAGAACACATTTTGTTCTATTTTTTTGTTGCAGTTTGGCCGGGGCCGGGTTCAAACCCACCACCCTTGGTATATGGGGCCAGTGCCCTGTTCACTGATCCACAGACACTGCCCTAAGTATCCCCTTTTTAAAGCAAATTTCTTTATATTTTTACTGAAATTTTCTTATATATGCCCAAATTTCCCCTTTATATATTATGTGACTTAGCAGCAATTTTTAAATCACATTCGTTCCCAAAACTTATATTCTAGCTCATGAAGTAAGAATGTTAGCAGTATATAATTACTAAATTATAAAATTAGTTTGTTCAAAGAGAGAAATAATGAAACACCATTAGGAAATGACACTTTTCCTAGGTGGTTGCAAGTAAGAAGACGAATGGAAAACAATTTCTTCATATATAGTCTAAAGTTCTGGTAAGAAATGAAGAGTTCAGAATCAGTGCCTGTAGCTCAGTGGCTAGGGCACCAGCCACATACACCAGAGCTGGTAAGTTGGAATCCTGCCAAACAACAGTGGCAAGAACAGCAAAAAATAGCCAGGCATTGTGGCTATTGGCTGTAGTCCTGGCTAGTTGGGAGGATGAGGCTAAGAATTGCTTAAGCCTAAGAGTTTGAGGTTGCTGTGAGCTGTGATGCCATGGCACTCTACCCTGGGCAACAGCTCACA